GGGGGGGGGGGGGGGGTCAGGATAATGTTGAAGTGGGAGGTGCGGGTGTTGATGGTGTTGGGGGTGAGCGTCGCGTGTCGGGCAAGAGGAGCATGTCGCCGTCCACGGCGCTACCGACCAAGGCGAGCGACATGCCCTTCTTCACACACGACTACCCACTCGACGATGACGGTGACGACCGAGATGACGAACAAGACGACGAGGGGGACAACCAGGATGAGGGCGACAGGTGGGTACACACAGACACGCACGCACACAGGCCCCTGGTTGCTGTGCTGCATTCATGCCCCATCCTCTCTCTCCTCCTCTCTCTCTCTGTCCGTCTGTGTGTAAGCGAGTTGCAGGAGGCCCTTGACGCCGAAGCGCGAGGCTGAGATAGCAGGGATAGTGAAAAAGTGGCTGCCTGCCTGATCCGGTTGGTGCTGTAGAAAAGAATGATGGCCACTCGAGGGGGCGGGGCGGGGAAGGGCAGCAGAGGTCAGAACTGAGAGAGATAAGCGGTTTGTGAGTGCTGGGGGTGTCTAACCAGTGTCTGGGGTGGGTGGGTGTAGCTATGTGACTGGATGGATGGATGGATGTGTGTGGGGTGGAGAAGCAAGAGCTTTAATGCAAACAACCGACCGAGGGTCTCTTGTCTTGTCACAGCACATACATGACACACCACACGCGTCCCTCTTCCCCTGTAGTCTAGCCTGCCCTCCTTAGCTTACACATCGGCGCATGGCATGGACACACGGTCAAGCGGTTGGTTATGCAGCCAGCCAGCCAGCCAGCCAGCCAGTCACTCGACTTGACGAAAAACAGCTAAGCTACAGTACACACAGCCCGCAAGAAGCAGCCCATCACGAGCCATCCCTCACCCCCCTCCAACACTCGACCCGCTCATCCATCCACTCCTATCTATCGGCCAGCCAAACGCCCGCCCGCAGACGGAGACACTTACGGCATGCATGTCTGTCACGTCACGTCATCTCACCGGTCGCTCGATCCCATGTAGTTGACAACACGATAAGACTTGGCCAGATTGGCCCTGCCATGCACACACACGAAACACACGACGGAGAGCATAACGGACCATGCCCGTGTGTGTGTGTGTGTGTGTATGTGTGTATGCCTTTCTGTGTGTCCAATCCAAACATGCCCCCACCTTACCTACCTGGTGTCATCGTACAGCTTCTTCATGGGGGCGAGAAATAAGTGCACCACCGCCGCCGCAATCCCCACCACGATGATAAAACCCAGGCAGGCCATGCCGGCCTCACCCGACATCCAGCCAAAGTCGACGTATACCCAGGCGCCCAAATCGCGGGAGGACCCTTCAAGGCACATGCGACAGAGGCTGTAGACGCCCAGCACAAAGAAAATCGGAAGAAAGCCCGCAACCAGGGTGACGGGGCCGATCTCGCTGGGGATCCTGTCGTCCACATAATGCACATACAGCGGCTGCACACCCAAACCTGCACACACACACAGACAGACAGACAGACAGACGGACGGGAGCCGATCGTGTGTGGGGGACAAGTAAGGAGAAGGACCAGTCAGTCAAGCCAAGCACCCTGGTGCGTCTTAACTTACCCAGGATGAATGCCGACGCGGTGAGGAGTGAGAGGATGCCGAGAAAGTAGACGATGAGTAGGCAGTAGATGTGGCTCGAAGACACGCTGGCGTTTTCAAACTCATAGCGGTAATGGCACACCTGTGGGTGGGTGGGGAACCAACGAACGAGGAACGCACAGGCATTCATTCTGCGGATGCAGCCAGCCAGCCATCTGGAGCCACGCCACTTCCGTCGTGCCGCTCGCTTACTTCGCATCGAACGAGGTTCTGCGGGTTGACGCTCACACTCGACCGCCACTTGTCCAAACTGCACACGCGCACACACACACCCCAACAGGCAGAATGAGTGAGGAGTGCAGCAGTGGAGCTCACAGCCTCGATCGCCGGCTGACCATTCTCTGTGGATGAAGCGAATGCTTCCCGTGCACTTGCACGGCGATATCAACTCACCGCCGTCTGGCCCAGCTGCACAGAGCACAGACAGACACCCACCCACCCAGTGGCACAGACACACTTTTCAAGGTGTGAGTGAGTGGCTCCTCTTGTGACCTCTGTCTGTCGCATTCATTACTTACCGTGGCAAATGCGGCAGAAAGGCTCCCCTGTTTCCTCGTCAAGATCGTCGTCTGCCCTTCGTGGCGGCAGGAGAGGCCCACTGGCTGCACCAGGCCGCAGTTCCTCCTCGTCCTTCTTCTCGCTACCTGAGTTGTTGCGGTTACCCATCATGAGCTCTCTGAACAACAGTTTGGGGAATGCCTTCCCGCGTGGCATCTGCGAGCTAAGCTTGCGAGCTTGATGTTTGCGGACGTCTCCCTTCCCGAGGCCTTTCCGCCCCTTGCTGCTTGTTTTTTCGGGCCCCCCGTCCACCCCGAGCGATCTGCCTTTGGTGCTCGTGCCATCTGCTTGCCGTCTGCTGTCGGGGCTGCCCTGCAGCGGTTTGGTGTTGGTTTTGTGAGTCTTGGAACAATCGATCCCGTCAGTCAGTCGCCTGGGTGGTGTGTTTGTTCCTTGATTCGTGTAGCTAGCTTCGTCTGTTATCTGAGCGCCCCAGCCCAGCCAGCCCAGCCACACGATGAGTGCTGAGAACGTCAAGGTGGTGTGCCGCGTGCGGCCCCTCAACGACAAGGAGAAGGGAGAGGGAGGCATCATTTGTGTCAAGGTGCCAGAGGAAAAAACTATACAACTTCTCGATGGTCAGCCAGTCGGAACCGAAGCCATGCACACACAGGCACTCCCTCGCAGAGGCTGGAAGGAGTGGTTGGCTCTGTGTGTGGTGTGTGTGTAGGTGGCAAGAAGTCTGCCGGGGACGACCGCACCTTTGTCTTTGACAGGACTTTTGACTGGAACTGCACTCAGCGGCAGGTGTATGACTTCGCCGCGAGGCCCATCATCGAGTCGGTACTGAGGGGATTCAACGGCACCGTCCTGGCCTACGGACAGACATCCTCAGGCAAAACACACACCATGCAGGTAGATACCTTACCCACCACAGGCAAGGAGAGAGAGAAGCTGAGACTCCACGCCACGCCGCGCCCACTCAGACAGACCACACATACCACACGGGTGTGTTGTGTTGTGTTGTGTGTTGTGTTGTTCAGGGTGTGATAGAGGACCAGGAGCAGCGCGGCATCATCCCGCGTATGGTCAACACGATCTTCGAGGGCGTCGACGCTGCTGATGAACACATCGAGTTCACTGTCAAGGTCGCCATTCTCGAAATCTACATGGAGAAGGTCAGTCACTACTGACCTATATTAACAAAGTGCACACCGCACATCGCATACATCACATTGCCCGTCCCGTGCGGACCAACTCCCCGACCGACACACCACAAGGATGTGTGTGCACGCGTGTGTGTGTGTGTGTGTGTGTGTAGATCCGTGATTTGCTGGACCCCAGTAAGGACAACCTGAAGGTGCACGAGGACAAGGTGCACGGCATCTACGTGGGCGACATCACCGAGGAGTACGTCACGTGCGAGCAGGACGTCTTCGACATCATGCGCATCGGACAGGAGAACAGATCCGTCGCAGCCACCAACATGAACGCCCACTCATCCCGCAGCCACTTGGTCTTCATCCTCTCCATCAGCCAGCGAAACCTTCACGACCTCTCCGTCAAGGTCGGCAAGCTCTACCTGGTCGATCTGGCGGGCAGCGAGAAGGTCGCCAAGACCGGGGCGGCGGGCAGCACCCTCGACGAGGCCAAGATGATCAACAAGTCGCTGTCGGCCTTGGGGAATGTGATCAACGCCCTCACGGACCCCAAGACGTCCCACGTGCCGTACCGCGACAGCAAGCTGACCCGAATATTGCAGGAGTCATTGGGCGGCAACAGCAAGACCTGTCTGATCATCACGGCCTCGCCCTCCAGCTACAACGAGGCCGAGACCCTCAGCACGCTGCGCTTCGGATGGCGCGCCAAGCAGATCAAGAACGTCGCCAAGGTCAACCAGGAACGGTGAGTGAGTGAGTGAGTGAGTGAGTGGGCGAGAAGGAAGACATAACAAAGGCACAGGGAGGGACACATACAACAGTTAGGACTTCCCCTTGTGTGTGTTGTGTGTGGACGACGTGACGTCAGTTCTGTGGAGGAGCTGAAGATGTTGCTGGAGAAGGCTGAGCGGACAATCGAGGAGCAGAAGGGCCGCATCCGTCTGCTCGAGGAGACCCTCCGCACCAACGGCATCACTGTCCCGGGCGGCATCTCCAAGGCCCCTGCCGCGGAGGCCGCCGCGGCAGCATCGGGCATGCACCACAGCAAGAGCGAGAAGACCTTCAGCAAGCCGCCCAAGCCAGAGGAGGAGGCCGACGAGGAGAGCGAGTTCCTGCAGCTCATGGAGGAGCTGTACCAGAAGAAGGCCGAGCTCAAGGAGCAGAGCGAGGCCATCACTGAGCTCAACAGACACGTACAGAGCGTCAACGAGCAGCAGAAGACTGTCGAGGCTGAGAACCAGATACTCGTCAACCGCATCGCCGACCTCTCCGTCACCTGCGAGCAGCTCCAGTACGAGCGACAGGAGCAGCTCGACACCATCCAGCAGCTCGAGGCCTCCCGCAAGGCCGTCGAGAGCGAGCTCAAGGTGCTGCAAGACAGCCAGAAGAACCTGTTGGCCCAGATCAGCGAAAAGGACAAGGAGATCGACAGCATGGCCAAGGCGGGGGCGGTCCCCACCATCCCGGAGGACCGTGTGGCCGACATGCCCAAGGTGGCCGCGGCCGGCAGCTCAGAGATCGCCAAGATCCGCGAGCAGCTGCTGGGCCAGGAGGGGGCGTCTGCGAGCGAGGAGCTAGCGGGCAGCACGGACGCTGCTGCTGCCGGTGGGGAGCTGTCGAAGCAGATGCACGAGCTGCAGAAGTTCAAGCTGTCCGCCCTGGCGCAGATGGAGCAGCTCAAGAAGCAGAACGACGACCTGCGCAAGGGCGTTTACGGCAAGGGTGACGGTGCGTGGGCCAAGGAGCGTGAGGCGATGCTGGCCGACATGCAGCGTGAGCAGGAGCAGGTGGCCGACTTGAAGGTCATGCTGCTGGAGGAGCGCAAGAAGGCCGAGGATTTGAAGGAGATGCTCAAGGACGGCGAGCGGCCTCTCCGTCGCAAGGTCTCGCAGCTGGACCGGAATCTGGAGCAGCTGACCATCATGTACCACAAGCTGGTCAGCCAGAACAGCGGGCTCAAGGTGGAGTGCCAGGTCAACGACAAGAAGATCCAGCGCAAGGAGCAGCGCATCGCCCAGCTCGAGAGAAACCTCAAGGAGGCAAAGGCCAAGTACGAGAAACTCCTGCAGCAGTGCGCCAACCTCACCAACACCGTCGAACACATGTACCGCACCGGCACCATCGCCGGCATGGCCGGCATGGGCGCAGGAGGGGCCGCTGCTGCAGGGGCGGGCAGCTCGGCGGGCGGCGGGGCAATCGCCCCAGGCAGCGCGCGGAGAGCAAACATTGCGCGGCCGCTCAAGGGCGGTTCCCATCGGGTGCGGCGGCCCACGCAGGCCCGTGAGATGGGCGAGGGGGGTGAGGGGGACGAGTCGCCCTTCCGTGGGGGCATCACGACCATCACAGAGGAGGGAGATGCGGACGGGGGCGACGCGGCGGATCCCGAGAAGAGGGGGGCCGGTGCGTAGACTTGACTGACACCACACTTACAAGGTGGGTGAGTGGAGCGGGCTGTAGGCGTCGCGTCCACACACACACACACATGGATGGATGGACACAGCTTCCTGTCTGTCTTGTGTGTGATTGTTCAGATCCCCTCGTCTGTGTCTTACCTTACGTATGTATGTGTGTATACCCATGTCTGTACGTGTGTGCGTGTGTCAGTCAGTTGCTTGCGTCTGTCTGGCCCATTTCTTTCTTTGCTCGGGAGGGAGGAAGCAGACGCACACGTGTGTATATTCTGTATCTACCTACGAATCAAGGTCGCTGGCTGCGAGTCACCAATACAGTCAGTCAGTAGTCGAACCGAACCGCCGGGCGGCTCACTCAGTGCCGCCTGCGGGTGGGTGTAGCGCTAGTGTTTTTTCGGTATCTACCCACCCCTTGTGCACACCACACCGGGGGAGGGGAGGGGGGAGGATGGTTGGGGGCCATTTTTGGCGTCAGTTGACTGGATTGGATGGATGGACACACGAGTCACCCACCCACGGTGTCTGTCTGCATTGACTGCATTTGTGTGCCTTTTGTTTGCCTTGTCGGTCTGGCTGTCTGTCTGCTGTGCTTGCCTGGTGTCCGACTGTCTGTCCGTCTGTCTGTCTGTCTGTCTGGTGCATAAGCTGTACAATCGTATATATTCACTCTTGTCTGCGCATGAGTAGGTGAGTAAAGCTGAGAGAGAGAGAGAGAGAGAGAGAGCAGCTGGTATCCTTTCAAGGTACAGACAGGTGAGGTGCCTGCCCGATTTGCTTTAGAGAGTGGCCACACACACACACACACACACGTGTATGTTAACATATGAGTCTATTATACTGTGCAACGCACGGACGGAATGCCATAATAATGGACACTTGATTGAGGGGGTGCGCCAAAGGGCGGTCTCTGATGACTGGCTGGCTGGCTGCTTGGTCGGTCATGTGTGCGTGCGGGCCGGGCGGGAAAGGGACAAGAATGAATTGAGTGGAAAAGCTTGCTCTCAGTGAGTAATGAATGCACCCGCCGTAGAGACATTCATTGCCAATCGAGCAGCGGACTTCCATGCCATCCATCTCACAGTGACACTCAAACCACAGAGAACCAACCAACCGAGCAGCTGAGTGAGGCGCATTTAGCTAAGCAGCGAGCTAAGCAGACAGGAGCCGATATGACTACTAACTAAGCACCGAGTGAGTGAGTCGGTATGTATCAGATATATGGGATGGGCGGATACACACATACATACATAGCAAAAGATGTCGACACGCTTGCCTCGTTTCTGCCGTTGATCCTATCACACGGCCTGCGAGTGTAGCCAAAGTGATGCTCGTCACATTGGCCACACTCGCCCACCGCGCGTGAAGGAACACCCAGCAGAAACCAACACACAACATATCCACGTCGGCCAAGCACGGTCACACAAACAGCATTATGCAATGCACACACACACACACATTATCCCACCTGACTGACCTGCCGACCACACCCCTCCCCTCCGTCCCGTCCACCACAGCCAGTGTGTCACAGGTGGACCTCCTCCCCCAGCTCCCATATCGACACACCCACACCCACGCGACGCGCCAACTCCAGCCGCTCCTCTAAGAACTGTGCACACATACACACAAAGATGCATCTCCCACCATGGCAGGCCAAGCTTGGCGTGTTGTCCATAGCGTGTTTGGCAGGTCACCCACCTGCAGTGTGGGAAAGTATTGAACCCACCAATCGATGCCTACTTACTTTAATGTGTGTACACCTCCTCCCCAACCATGACGCTGCGCCCCTGCCCCAAATCAGCCTGCCGCATGACCACCAGGCTTTCTATCTCCACCGACACTGCCAGGCTGCCATCCGCATCGGTGTAGAGGGGGATCTCGTCGTGGTGGCACACATGTGATTGACCCCAAGACGTCCTCTCGGGGCAGAAGTCCTTGTCCAGGATGATGCATAGCGGGGTGGTGTGGTTGCTGCTGCTGTTGCCGTCGGTGGTGTTGCTGGCGGGGTTCGTGGGGTGACCTGTGGTGGAGCCGAGGTAGAGACTGCCGCGGAGGGAGAGGTGCTTGTCTGCATACAGGACAGGAGAGAGAGAGGGTTGATAGATACATCAGACAGATGAGATCAGATGAGATGAGATGAGTGGACTCGTTGTGGCTCTCTCTCCATGCCTGACAGACAGACCTGACGGTCCCCAGAGGAAGAGGCCACAGTATTCGCTGTCGCGCCTCGGTACGAACGACACGGCCAGGCCCTCTACGCCGCCAGCAATGAAGGGGAAGCGAATGGGCGCACGCTCCGGCGCCATCTCTATCACCTGAAGGTCAGCCCAGGCGATAGACAGACAGACGGACATGGGGGTGGGGTCATACGGAGGTGGAGCGGACCACCCGTCCGTATGACTAAGTGAGTCACCTTCTCGATCTCGGGTATCTTGAACCGCCACGTGCGGCTTGCTCGCGAGCTGCGGCATACACAGAGACACAATCGAGGCACACCAACGTCGTGATGCGGAGCAGGTGTGGTGCTAGTTAGTGTCTTCCTTCCTCCACCCGTCCCCCCACCCAGCCACCCACCTCTGGCTTGCGGCGATCTGTGCCATCTCTGTGAGCCTTTGCTGCAGGAATGCGTTGCTGGCCTTGAGTATCGACAGGTGAAGGTCCTTGCTCTGGGCGTTGTGGCGACCCAGCTCCCCCACACCCACCTAAACGAAAGGATTCTCACATCCACACACACAAGACCTGTCCGGGCGTGCTGTGATCTTCTCTGCAGTTTGTTCATTCCCACCCACCTCCTCTCCACAGATGTCGCACTTGCTGCTACTGCCGGTCTCCTGCTCACTACTGCCACCCCCATCCCTATCCACGTCATCACCCGGCATCATGGGCATGGCAGCGCCGCTCATCGAATGCGGCGACACCGGCCGGCCGGCCGCAACACCAGGAGCCAATGAACGAGGAGCCGACGCGGCAGCCGAACCGTCGGGCCACCTGGCAGGGACGGGCGGTTTGAGCTCCGGCTTGACCTCACGGTTGATCCCCTGCTCCCGCGCCAAGGCCGCCCGGGCACGATCGCGAGCCGCCCGCGTCATCTCCTCTGGCGCTGCGCTGTCGCCACCCACCGGTCCCACAGGGCTGCTCTCCCGCCGCCTCTTCTCTCTGCGCTCGGCCTTGTGCTGCTCCCGATCCCGGTTGTGCTGCATGATGCGCGCGGCATACTCCTTGGGCAGGCCGGTCAGCTGAGGTCCAAACTGCTCGACGGCACTGTTGAAATGCGTGGCCGACACGTCGTGGCGGGTCATCTTGGCGTGGTGGATGCTGCCCTTGCCCGTGACGCCTCTGGTCCACGGCTTGGCACTCTTGATGTTCCTCAGGTACTGGGGATGGGCCGCCCTGCACCAGGAGCAGAAGAGCACCAGCTGCCCGTCCTCCTCACTTGTGGCAGCACCCAGCCACGGAAACTCAGCCTGCCAGGCCTTGAGCGAATACGATCCCGGGCCTGCTACTATGGAACGCGGCGGCGGCGGCGGCGGCTGCTGCTGCTTGGGAGGGACGGTCTCGGGATCTGCTACTGCCAGATCCATCTGGGGAGGTCAGGTTGCGCTGATAACCACAGCACACCCGCATTTGAGAGACACACCCCACCCCGGAAGAGAACCCAAGCTCGCAAAAGTGGGTTGCGAACAACCCCATTGAGCAACCCCATTGAGCGACTCACACACCGGACCATGGTCAAGAAATCGCAAAAGAATGCGACAAAAGTAAGTAAGGGGGGCGCCTGTTCATCCAGGGGGGAGCTCAGAAACAAGTTCAAGCCACGTGCTGAGGTACATGTAGGCCAGACCACCTCTGAGACAGATAGAGAGCTGAGCTGCTTGAGCTTTCGCACTGAGTGCAAGAGAAAATGACCGCTGCAATGCATGCATTTCAAGCTTCTGTTATCTTTGTGCACGTCGTGTTGTGGTATGCAGCCGGCTCAAGAGCCCACGCGTATGAGTACAAGAATCCATCCGTCCAAATTTCGAGCTCAGCTGTCGAGATTCGGAGACGGCGCGCGAGACGGGGGCCTTAACAGCCTTTTTCTTTTAAAGATATGTGTTTTTTCAGCCAAAATTCCTCAATTCCGACGTCGCTTTGGGTTTGGGTGAGTCCTCAGCGCCCGGCGGCAGACCGAGGTGCCCACCAGTGGAGCATCCCATCAAGAAGAAGGTGAGTTGGGCATGGCGCACCAAAGAGGGCCATTTGTGTAGCGATGCATTGTGACTGGAATGCGCTGTCCTCCTCTTTCTTACATGTCTTGTGCTCGTCTGTTGGTACCGTGTGTCCGTGTGCCCGTGTGTGTGTGTGTGTCCGGTGACATGTGTGCAGGCGCCTGTCAGCAGCACCAGCAGCTGCCTCAGCGGCAGCGGCAGCGGCAGCAGGCCAACTGCCCTCAACACCCAGGCCCATCGGCCACGCCCATGGCGCCGCAGCGCCTGGAGGCGGGACGCCCGAGACTCCCAGGACGCCCGTCGGCATTAAAACGAAGGGATGTCGGTCGGGCCATCTGTATACCCCGTGCAAGTGTCTTTTAAGTGTCGATGGGGTGGATGTTGTTCAGCTGTGTGATCGATCGTCGTATGTGAGGACGATTCGTTGGAGCAACCAACGAGCGGATAGATAGATAAGACAAACGAGACGGGATACAAGTGCATCGCCGTCTTGCCCTGCGGTGAGATGCGAGGGACGAGACGCGATGACACATAGCTTCTTTCTTGCCTCTGTGTTGTGGTTTCCTCGCTCGATTCGCTCGCTCAGGTCACGTGTGCCTGTGCAGGTCTGCCAGCCGTCACAGGTAACCAGAGCAAGAGAGAGCCATGAAACGTCACTTGTCTGCCTGCATATCCAACAGCTCGTTCAGATGATGGTCTTGGGTGCTGGTGCTGAATCGACCCGTCTGGCTCATTTGAATCGGTGAGAGGACAAAACGCATCGTCGGCTCGTACGCCTGCATTGACCATTCGCGCAGCCACGAGCTGGTGAGACGCATGCGTGTCCTTATCGAGAGCGGCAGGAAGTTCTTGGAGGGCGTCGACTTCCTTCAGATCGACAACAACGATGCTCACAGGGAGAGGGACGACAGCGGAAAACAGGAGTCCCACCACGTCTTCGCCGATGTGTCACAGCCGGCAGCAGCTTCAAGACCATCAGCGCCCGCCATCCCGCCCCACTGTCGGCCGAGGACGTCGAGGAGGTCCGTAGGGAAGTGGCCATCGCTGTGCGTGGGCTAAGCCTGCTCGCCCTGCTCGCACAGTATGCGTCTCACAGAGAATTCCTTCGTCGACTCACAGATAGCACATACACACAGATCTGCCTGCTCCCGGTGTCTCTGTTTGTCTCCTTCAGTTTGAATATCGCCGCCTACATTTTATATTTCGCCTCACACTGATAGCTGACAGACTGGTAGAAAAGAGGGGGGGGGGGGGGGGCAGGGC